TAAAAATATCTGCAAGCTGTTGCAGTTAGGCAATGTGTGGGAATGTAACTTCTCTAGACATGAATTTGGTACGAGTGAAATGACAATTAAATTCTATGTGTTTTGTGCGCTCATGAAGCACTCGATTGGAGGTAATACAAACGGCGTCCATATTATCAGCATATAACGGTGTAAGAAATCGATTAAGAATGTTTGGGTCATGTAACAGATCTCTCAACCAAGTGATTTCACTACGAGTGAAGGACATAGCTCAGTATTTGGCTTCTCTGCACAAGATTTCGACACATTTTGTCGTTTCTTATATTTCCATGGTATGAGAGTCTCCCAAAAATACACACCATCCAATGGTTGAGCATTGAGTATTTGGGAATCCTGTGTAGTCAGCATCAGCATAGGCTCGTAACTCGAGAGAAAAATTAGAGGAGAACAACAACCCTCTAGAGCATGTCCACCGTAGTTAACAAATGATGCGATGGACAACCAAGAGGTGGATACAACGAGGAACTGAATCAAATTGACTAACTACCTGCACTACATGTGATATATCAGGATCAGTCATAGTAAAATAAAGCAAACTGCCAACCAGTTGTCTATAAAGAGGGGAATCCGGAAGTTTGTCCCCAACATTCTTTCTATATTTTACATTCACGTCAGTTAAATTTGACAGTTTGATCAAATATTTGGTATACTTTTTAAATTAACTATATATCCATCAAGAGAGTAATGAACCTCTAGGCCACGAAAGTAGGTCAGCGCACCCAAATCCTTCATTGTAAATGTGATTGAGAAGCTCCTTCAAGCGTTGTATATTGTCATGACTATCTCCTATGATAAACATATCATCAACATATAGGAGAAGAACTGTTATCCCAAAGGAACAATGGTGGTAAATAACGAATAATCATGAGCACTTTGTGTGAATCCAGCATTCAGAATGACCTATCGAAACCTTTCAAACAATGCTCTTCAAGCTTATTTTAAGCCATACAAGAATTTCTTCAAACGACATACTAGAGTCTTGTCATGGCAATGCCCAGGAGGAGGTCGCATACATACTATCTTTTTCAAATGTCCATAAAGAAATGCATACTTCACATCCATCTGAGAGATAGTCCACTGACGAATAACTGAGAGCATAATCATTGTACGTATGTATAGTGCTCACTTTAGCAACTGGAGCAAATGTTTCTTCCCAACCTATGTCATACTCCTCCTTGTAACCTTGAGCAACTAATGGTGTTTTATATCGCTCAATCCCTCCTTTAGATTAAACTTCGCAGAAAATATCAATGTAATTCCAATAATGGATGTGTTAGGAGGGCAAAGGACAAGATCTCAGATGTCATTTTCCAACAAGGCACTTATCTCTGCATGCATGGCCTCCTTCCAACATGGTATAGTAGAGGCGTGTTGGTTAGGTAGAAGGAATACCAACTGAATCTAAGGGGGTAAATGATGATCTACGAAGCAAACAAAGATCTAGGTGGTTAGAAGGAATATCAAGAGAAGCAAACAAAGATCTAGATGTAGTAAAAAGTCACGTGAAAAACGTCGTAACTGGATAGAGCTATCAGAAGAAACAGGGTTATGAGAAAAGGAAGAGGGAGGAAAATCACTTACAGGTAGGGAAAAAGTTTGATCTTGCTCTGCTTCGTGAGCTGAAGGAGGAGTGGATTAGTTTTGTTTGCCCTATTGTTGATGCACCAAAAATTGTCATAATGTCTCAGAGGAACTAGCATCGGAGAAATCTAGTAAGAAAGGTGCACAGGACCCTGTTCGTTTAGTAATTGAAGAATACTAAAAGAGGCTTTTCAGAAAGATAACATTACGAGAAACACGTACATGACGAACTACTGGATCATAACATAGAAATCCCAAGTAACCCACAAAAATACAGGCGTTGCTTGAACAGAAAATTTCATTCTTTCATGTGCAGGAAGATGAACAAACAGACACATCCAAAGACATGCAAGAGAGAATAATCATGATGCATACGAAATAATGAATAATATGGAGACTCTTTATGCAAAATTGAGGACGGGAAATGGTTTATGAGATAAACAACCATTGATGCAGCTTCAACCCAAAAACTATGAGGAATATGGGAGTCATGCATAAGGCCTATCTTCCAGTATATGACGGTTTTTCCTCTCAGCTATGTCATTATGTTGTGGAGTATAGGGACAAGTTTTTGTGATTAAAAATCCTAAGTTTTCAAATCTGTTTGAAAATCATGTGATCAATACCCCCCCCCCCCCCCGAGTCTGACAGTAAGTTTTAATTTTTGTACCAAATTGTGTCGCAACCATGGATAAAAAGGTTTTGAAATGGGAGAACACTTCAGATTTATGACACAAAAATATAGCATGTACAATCATCAATGAACAAAACAAAATCCTTATATCTCATTCTAGATAAAGTTGGAGCATGACCCCATACATCACTATGAATAAGATGAAAAGATGTAGTTGATTTATCTACTCGAGTAGGAAAAGGAAAACTAGTGCTTTTATTCGGACAACAACTAATACAAGATTTATTGACAGAATTTAAAGCAAGTGCTCTATTAGGCAAGGAACCAGAACGAAACAAAGTATCTAATGTATTTGCATTCAAATGACCAAGTCTTTGATGCCAAAGATGCCATTATTTTTAGAGACAAAAAAATTAGAATCCGACGGAGTGAAGATAAACTAGTTTCTTAATGATCCATCACTACAACATTGTCCATCACTGCTATTTTTACTAACAATGGATGAATGCTCCTTCTCTCCCCAAAAGATGACAAATTTCTCTCCTTTTTTGCCTCTTTTTTTTTTTTACATGAAGGGGGGAACAAGGAAAGCCCACTTCCTTTTAATGATGCCCATGATCACTATTTTTTCTCTCACCCACTCCACCACGTAATTTAAAAGAGAGTGGATTTATCCCCTTCTATAAGCGACCCTTTAATCATTTCAAGGGCCCATCACCACATGCATTAATAAACCAAGGATCTCCTCTCTCTCTCTCTCTCTCTCTCTCTCTCTCTCTCTCTCTCTACTACTACTACTACTCTACTACTACTACTACTACTACTACTACTACTACTACTACTACTACTACTACTACTAACTACTACTACTACTACTCTACTACTACTACTACGTACGTACTACTACTACTACTACTACTACGTACTACGTACTACGTACTACTAACGTAACGTAACGTAACGTAAC